ATATGCCTAAGCATTTTTTATTAGCGTCTAGGTTTGACGACACATATGTTGTAACACGCTGTACTGCATCAACTGTGGATCTCTCTGATCGAAATCCATATTGATTAGAAGAAAGTAAATTTTGTTTTTCTAAATAGTTTATAAGTCTGTTATTAATTATTTTTTCTATAATTTTAGACAAGCTTGGCAGTAATGAGATTGGACGAAAGTTAGAAATACAATCACTGTCTCCTGATTTATATATAGGAATAATAATCGACTTTTTTAATGCATTAGGGAAAACGCCGCTGGAAAAACATAAATTACAAATTATTGTAATAGGAGTTGTAAGTATCGAACAAGCACTTTTTAGAAAAGATGTGGGAATACCATCCCATCCCGTTGAAGAGTTGTTTTTTAGTCCTAATGTAATATTTTTTACTTCCGTCTCATCTGTTGGTAATAACATAAATGAATTACCAGCCGTGGGTGTGGTATTTTTTAATTTGGAAGCTAATTCATTCTCATTGCAGTTGGTTTCGTCAAGTACATTCTTAGCTAAATTAGCTCCAATATTCGCAAAATATGTATTAATAAAGTTTAACGAAATTTGGGGACTAGATTTTAGATTGATCAATTCAGATGAGTTATTTTTAATTTTATCCAGATAGCAGAGATTTTTAATTATGTGCCATTGCTTTTTGAGGTTATTATTATATTTATATAATTGTTGTCTATAATATAGTTGTTTTTGTTTTTTTAAGAGGTTATTGCATGTATTTCGATATCTACTATAAGTTATTTTGAGAATCATATTATCAGGGTCTTTTTTTAATTTTTGTTGTAAATTATTACGATTTCGTATGCATCGTATCAACCCTGGAGTTATCCAGGGTTTAATAATTCTTTTCTTCCTAGATATTTTGTAAACTGTAGTGTGCTTCTCGAAAGCCTTATTTATTTCTGAAATAAAAATATTTGTAGCCATATTTACATCGTCAGTCAAAATTTGTTGCCAATCAATGAATTGCAACTCTTTAATTGCTTCTTCATAGTTTACTTTAGTAATTGTAGGTATTTTATTCTTTCTTGAAATTTGTGTTTTTTGTAATGTTGTTAATATACTACAATGGTCAGTTATTGAGGTATTACAAACCATTGTGGTTACTGAGTTTATCGTTTTCACAAAACAGTGATCTAAGCAATTTTTATCACGAGTAGGTAGCACGTGTGATGGAAGCAAACCATGAGATGCAAGTAGGTCCAAATAATCAGCTGTTTTAGTGCTGTTATTTTCGGGTTTTATATCAATATTTATATCGCCTAAGAGTAATATATTTGCATGTTGTTTTAATTTTGTGAGGACTTTATCCAGTGACTTCAAGAAATTTTCAGTATTTTGATAGGATGGAGGTCTATATACACAAATAATAGCAAAATTATTTTGGAGTGTGAGTATTAGACAGTTTGCATCTACTATATCTGTAGATTCGCTTACTTTAACAATTAAGTCGTCTTTAACGAAAGCAACTACACCATCATTCTGATTTAAATGGTTTTGTGTAAAATATGAGCTATAGGTCGGAATTTTTGGTATAATAGAATCTTTGTTCAACCAACACTCAGTTAGAATAATTATATCTTGTTGAAAGTTAATACGATCTAGTAAAACAGTAAGATTATCAAAATTTTTATTGATGCTACGTATATTTTGTGTAAAAATATTAAGAGCGTTTTCAGAAATGGGCAAAGACGTACCATAGAGCTTCTCTTCATCAACAATCATTGCACTTCCGACATTGACACTGGAGTCAATGTCATCTAATACCTCTAGTGTATTATTCATTATATTTAAAGTCAATAATGCAGTATTTAATGAACATAAGGAAGTACAATATTGAATCTTCAGATAAGCATTGGATGAGAGCTTTACTTGTGTGTGGTATATAAATGTAAATAAAATGTGGATATAATATGTACGTATGTAAATGTAATGTAAGTGAACTAGTTTGTGTATGAGTATATGTTAAAATGTAAGCAACAACACATGCAGTATCCATAAAAAATAATCTGAAATTAACAAAGTAAAGTATAAAATAAAAATAAATGTAACAGTATACAGTATTATGATTAAGAATATCAGAGCATAGTCAATTTTGTAAGCCTGGTAAATCCATTTTTAATGCCTCAATTTGGGTTAACATTTTGACATGTATGGTAGGAGTATTATCAGATTTTTTGATAAATACCTTACCATGTTTTATCCAGCAAAATTTGAATCCGTGGTTTTTCTTCAGCATTCTGGCCTGATAGTGAAGTAACCTCGTATTCGAAGTGAGGAGTTCCGATATAAAAAGTGGTCGTTTTTCTCCTTTTAATCCTAATGTTAAGCTATTTAGTTTATTATCCTCATGATCCATATTATATTTCTTTACAGCTGCTAAAATTTCTTCACGTGCTTTTATAGTCTGATATTGAACAATTATATTATGCTGATTTTTCCCAACTTTTTTTAAGGAGATTTGCCGTACTTCACTATCATTTAGTGTAATCTTTAAGGAATCTTGTATTTTTTTAACAATTTCTGGGAGTTCCTGCTGCTCAATTATATTAACATTGCGTATTTCAATTGAAGTAGCGTTTTGGATACGTAGGCTTTCTTCTAATGTATCTTCCAAATTCTGTATTCTCTTTAACATTATTTCATGATCTCTAACGACAGAGATCACTTTGTTATTTAGATCATTATGTGAAGCCGTTATTACTTCCAATTTTTCCTCAATTCCTCTCTGTGCCTTTACTATAGTTCTGTTTTGTTCTTTTATTTCTTCCAAAGATTTATGTAGTTGACTATACATACAATCCTGGTTTTTATTCATATTAGACACCATCATAATTAACTCATCGCGAAGTTCAAGTCTGTCAATGTCATCACGTTCTTTGCGCTTTCTCAAAGATACAAAAGCATTGTCCGTTAGATTAAATAAATCGGATTGTGATGAAGATCTTCTTTCGGGAGGCGAACGTTGAACGGACATGTTTTGTCTTAACTCGTAGCATATACTATGCAAGCACTTGACGTCAAAGTATTTTTTAGTTAAAGATTATATTAAAGCTGCAATCAATTATCGACACAACACTGGAAATAATTAGGTGTAAATTACTTTGTAGTGATTTTTAAATTTATATTAATTTTACGGGACGCAACTGCTCACTACAAGAGCCGGACGATCAAAAGATGAATAAATATTATAGATATATATCTAATATATAAAATTCTCGTGTCGCGGTGTTTGTTACCAAACTCCTCCGAAACGGCTTTACCGATTTTCATGAAATTTTGTGTGCATATTGGGTAGGTCTGAGAATCGACCAACATCAATTTTTCATACTCCTCAATGATAAGGGTAATCGGGTGGGTCTAAATTTATGACAATTTTTTTTAATTTTTGTTTTATTAACATTTAGCATTGAAAAATACAACTTCAAATTTGTAGTACGATAAATTTTCATGTATAGTTCTCGAAATTATGTATATGGTAAAACAACGTTTGCCAAGTCAGCTAGTATATATATATATATATATATATATATATATATACACGACATCATACATTTTCGCATGGTTATATTGCATTTTTTATGGTTTTATTGCTAGCAATGAGATTACTTATCTCCATTACTAACAATCCCTTCTCTCCCATATTATACTGTATTAGCCTGTAAAGTGTATTATATAGAGCGTGCGACTCTCCAGCAGATATTTGGCAGCTTTTACTACCAGGTGCATTCATTAGCATATACCAATACACGATACTGGTATCAACGTAACATTTCACGTTACCTTTTAAATACATTTACATTTTAGATTAGCTTTTCGCCCGCTACTTTGTACACGTGGATTTCAGAAGTAGGAAAACTAATGAAGTAGGCCAATAGATGGCGTAACAAGAGAAAATATACACCAATTTTTACACCCTTCTTTGCATACTGGTGGAAATTTCCATCATAACAGTGAATGCCCAAAAATTATATAAAAGAACAAGTTCTCTTTAAGTTGATCGTGTCTGGATACCCTTTGTCCATCCATTCCATGTCCATTGTTCATTGCAGGAAGAAAAAAAGCATAGCTGTCAAATTTATTTTTTAACCATTTTTCCTTTAATTTTGAACATGAATTATATCGCCTTGATTTATTTCACCAATAAAAAAAAATCATGTAAAAAAGGGTTAAGTTAGACCTTCAAGAATTTAAATGAGAAAACTGTGTCCAATTTAGTGGAACAGTTTCTGCGTGATACAGCACACAAATAACATTACAAACATACACATAATAAAGTTTTCTTATGTTATCACTTGTATGTTTTTTTTTTTATTGTTTTGTTGGTGTCAGTTTTGTTAATATGTAATCGATGACATAAGAGAATGTTGTGTACATCTGTAAATCTGTTGGTGTAAATGCAAGATGCAAGCCCTGTATCTCAATTAAAATTAATGTCTGTATTTACACTGTTGATGTACCTTTTAATATAAATAAATAAAAACAAAAAGCAAAATGTATAAAACAACAATTTCCTTCTTTATTATTATAGTAACAGAAAATGGTCACAACTCAGTTTATTGCTTTGCCTTCAAAAGAGCAAAACAAAGAATGTTCAAATAGAATGATAACCCCGTCTGCGCTATCGATATACGCTGGCGGGGCCCCAGTGAGGGATGATTGGTGAAGAAGCCTCGCTTCATTAGAGAGTTGTGCCAGTAGTTGCCACGCTTGACAAGCGGATTGGTAACCGCAGTTACACTTTGTTGATGTTTTAATAGAAAAGCTGCTGCCCATTCCTTGGTCATTTAGTTACCTTAGTCGCCTCTTACGACACCCACGCGAAAGGAATAGGTGACCCGTTCTATGGCGGGACCGCTCGAAGAATTTTAATTGATTTTTATAAATAATATTATTTTATTTACTTGTGTGTGTATATAAAAAAAAATCTTTTATTTAAATTACTGTCCTTCGTCCCCAGGTGTGAACCCGAGGAAACAGCGGCGGGAGAGGACCACTTTTACCAGGGCACAGCTGGACGTGCTGGAGGCTCTATTCGGGAAGACCAGGTACCCTGACATCTTCATGAGGGAGGAGGTAGCGTTGAAGATCAACCTGCCCGAGTCTAGAGTACAGGTCAGTTGCAATTCAACCTTAAATTTTACAAAAGTATTTGGTACAATGTCTTCGGCTTGGGTACTTATGTCCCACTCGTGGTTCTGCTACCAAGTGTTTTGGTAAAAAATTGAATAAGGGTCCATATCATCAGAATATCGTAAGAATAACCGCGAAAGCGCGAACCCATAGTCTATAGAAAAAAAACCTATGACATATGAGGAAAAAGAAGTGGTCAACCACACGGAAAAGCTGATCTCCGTGATGCAGTAGCAGACACGTTGCTTTGTATAAATAAGATGTCGTGTTCGATTCCCTATTGGACCAATTTTGAAAACGATCTTTTCTGAATTAGCCCGGGTGTGAGTATTTTGGGTTATGCTAGCAGATGTATATCGCCTGGTTCCTCATAACGCAAGATATCATAGCTTGAGGACCACGCGATTGGTTTAATTGAATTATTTAAATAAAATTTCAGTTGTACTTACCTTAAATGTTTACAAATATTATAAATGTGGAAGTGAGTTTGTTTATCACCTCGTAACTCCTTAACGCTTTCACCAATCGTTATGAAATTTGGTATATACATGAGAAGTTCGTAGACTTTTCGATTAAATCACGAATGAACAAAATTACCAGCACTAAAAAATACAAGTAAATTATTGTAAAAAAAAAAATAAGACAGTTTTCTAAATAGTTAAAGATACAAAATTTCCTTAAGATCACTGCCAGCTGGTAGGGTACCTAGGAGACTTGCTGCATTTCCACGCTGAATAGCTATGGAAATGCGTTGACCAAAGTATAGGCCAGCCTTCTGGTCGTCGATTAAATTGACATATAGAACAAATAATCTCAATTTGAAAATTGATCATTTAGTTTTTCAATCATTCATCATTCGGTCACTTGATTAATTTAATAAAGTTAAAAAAAATATTTCCTAATTTCAACTCGTTAGTTTCGTAATAGAAAATCACTTTTTAATCCTCTTATTTATTACAATCGTTAGATGATATATATATTTTTTTAAAGTATATTAAAAAACTATTCTCTCTTGTTTACCATCGTCTAATATGGTCAGGCACGCATAATTCCATTAACATAATGTATAATAACAAAATAAAAATACCATTTATTAGTCTTATCAAGCACACCGGCTAAATCCCAAGATTACCAAGTAAGTTTCAATTAACTCAAGATATGCCATCGAAAAAAAAAAATATATAATCCGTCATAATGGAAAACCACCCAAAACGCCGTTAAAAATAAAGTTAATAAAAAAAGCTTAGCGATCCATCACTGGCGACAGTCGATGCTTGACTGGATTCTAATGCGTTCAAACGTTCAATTTATATCAACACGGGTTCAGCATTAGCGCGCGCAATCGAATTACATTCGAAATACGAATTTGAAAATGGAATGATTCAATTGTTCCGTTAGCGTCAAATAATGGGCGAAGTAACAAGATTTGTTGTCTTTGATTTATAAGAGGAGATGTTAAATTACGTAGGAGACCATAACTGGGGCAATAGATAACTTTCAAAGGAAGGGATGGCCTATTCTATGCGGGGAGCACACGGATAGGACTATTAAAATTAATTTACTTGTTCCCTTTTAATTATTTAGTTATATAATAACTTTCAGTTTCTTATCCGGTCTTTTTTGCAACTGGTTTCCTCTATTGACCGGAAAAACTAAAATTATGATTCAATTTCCTAATAATTTATTAAATGTTAAATGATTCGTTAATAAATGCAAAATGTCTGTTTCTTATTTAATAACTAATAAGTACCTACAAAAATACATAATCATTTCATTATACTTTTAACCGATTTAAAAAACAACTATAATCAATATATCTCAATGCAATTGTAATTTTTTATTTGAGAATTTATCATCATCATCATCATCATATCAGCCTTTAACTGTCCACTGTTGAACATAAGCCTCCCTCTTGGGGGGTTTTGCCAGTAGTTGCCACGCTTGGCAGGCGGATTAGAAACCACAGTTAGGCTTTACAGATGTTTTAAGAGGAACCCTGCTGCCTATCTCTCGTCCTCCTTAATCGCGTCTTACGACACCTACGGAAAAGGAGGGGGTGGCCTATTCTATGCCGGGGCCACATTAGAATTATTATAATAATTTCCTGCGGGTTCTTCTCAGCAGATAACATCCCAAACCCAACAGAACAATCACTGCATAGTATAAAACAAAGTCGCTTTCGCTGTCTGTCTGTCCCTATGTATGCTTAAATCTTTAAAACTACGCAACGGATTTAGAAGCGGTTTTTTTAATAGATAGAATGATTCGAGAGGAAGGTTTATATGTATAATACATGCATAATATTGTAGAGAAACACTGATAAATTTAGAGGTTTCAAATGTGATATTTTTATATCAATAATTCCCTTTATCAAAATAGATTACTAAGATATTATGTATTATTTATTTATGTATCAATATTTTAAGTATGTTAAGTATTTTTTTAAATTAGGGTATGATGAGGCTGACATATCCTTATAGGATAAAAGCCTCTAAATAAATAAGATAAAAAAAAAATTATGTGATGTAATGTGCACTCGTGCGAAGCTGGGGCGGGTCGCTAGTCAAGAGAGCTAGTGAAGAAAAAAAAAATTACGATTTAAAAGAACGTGTAAATAAAGTATAGTTGGATAAAAATTATTTCTGTTCTATTAAATTCGGTTATAAAAGAAAACTCTTAAATTGTTAGAAACAATTTTATTTATTTATTTAAATAACTTTATTGACCAAAATAAAATAAAGTACAAAAGGCGGACTTGATGCTAGTAGCATTCCCTACCAGTCAACCTTTGGGATGAACAGTGAATCACGAACGTAGTACTTCATTATTGGGATAGGTAAAGAGAATAACAACTAATTATGTATACCTATACAAAATAAGCAATACATATATAAATATAAAGGAATATGCATGTATATTATAATAGATTTAAAAATTTATACTTATATAATTTTTTTTATACGACTTAGAATGGCAAACAAGCTGACGGCCCACCTGATAGAAAGTGCAGTACCATCGACATAATAGAGTATACTGTTTCGCCCATGATACCCCCCATGCGTTGCCATTCCTGAGGACTCAGGTGTTATTCCTCCGTAACCAGTAAATTCACGCCATATCCCACCCTTCAAACCGAAACACAGCAATGCAAATACAACTGCCTTACGGTTGAAACACGAATGGGACAGAGGTACCCTAGCAATCGACTTTTGTACAAAATCTCCCTCTGGTAACTATAAATAATATATAAATAAGTAAAATATAAAAGATGATGTTTGGCTACTATAGGGGGGCGAGGGGAGGTATTATTAGTAATGGGGTTTGACAGCCCCATTGCTAAAAATTTACCCTATCAGGTCGACCTCCACGTAATTCCCCTGGAAACCATCGTGGCTAAATCTTATTGAATTTGTTACGACGGGCTAAATTACCTACTTCATCATCACCTATCATCACTCACTGATGCCCCGCCAGTGTATACCGATAGCGCAGGCAGGGTTACTATTCCATTATCACTTATTAAAAAAAAATTATGAAGTGACCAATAACAATATAATTAGCTAACCAATATTCAATTCAGAAATGACCTATTACAAGACCTTATCTTAAAAAAAAAATAAACAAAAAAAAAAATAAGAAAAATAGCAATCACTAATATATACATATTCAGCAAACAGCATAATACCGGTTCGTGCTTCGCCAAACGTCCCCGGGATTATACCCCTACCATTTGCTCGCTATTGTCAATGAGTTAATAAGTTTTATAGAAAATGAGCAAAATGAATGAGTGAACGGCTGAACGGTTCGGGTGCAACGTGTAACAGATGCGGTGATTGCAATGTGTGCGTAGTGGTAACATGTTGGGTAACCGATATAATAATTGTAACGTGTTCTTACCTAATTTTATAGAAGGTAAATTAATGTAATAATAATATTAAAACGTGGAATAAGGCATGAATATTTTGTTTTTTATTATGAGATGTGTGTTTGTGTTTTACTCACCTAATAGTGTAGCGTATCCCTCAGCGTATCCCTTTAGCACAGGCGGGGTTACCATACCATTATCACCCATCAAAAAAAATGGTAAATGATGATAAGATCTAGTATGAACCAGAGGGAAACTTTGTACAAAAGTCGTTTGCTTGGGCATCTCTGTTATTCGTGTTTCTCCGCGCTCCCATTCGTATTTCTACCGTGAAGCAGTTGTGTTTGCATGGGTCTTTCGGTTTGAAGGGTGGGACATGGCAGTGAATTTACAGGGTACAGAGGAATAACACCCGAGTCCTCAGGAATGGCAACGCATAGGTGGTATCATGGGCGAAACAGTATACTCTGTTATGTCCATGGTACTGCTCAAGTCTATAGGCAACGGTTACTATTTTCCATCAGGTGGGCCATCAGCTGGTTTGCCATTCTAAGTTGCATAAAAAACACAGCAGCTAAACCAAAAAATACTTATTTATCATCAACTTGAATAGTCCTAGTTTTGATATCCTTACTTATACGTAGTAAAGTAAATGTGTGTGTGCCGCAACGGGTGAACCTTTCACTATAAAACTTGGTACACATTAACTATATGGAAAGAAACAGTAGCCTTTGTCATTATTTTAATTAATAATGAACGTAATAGGGATAATGAGGTCGATATATTTAATAGTAGCAGCAGTTATATAAGAAAAACCGTCGAAAATTATTCTCTCAGTGATTTTAATAATGTTTAGCTTATGTTTGCCCACTTATTCATATTTAGACTTTTAACTTTAATAATTAAATTTTCGTTAACTATAATTAACTTACTGTTCATTTATATATATTTAATTATTAAATTATTATAGCTGTAAGTTTCACTCAATATAAAGAGATAAATTTGAAATTATATAGGTACTAGATAGATATTTTGAAAAAAGGGGGTAAAGAGGTTTCTTCAGGGTCGGCAACGCACGCGTAACACCTCTGATATTGCAGGTGTTCATAGGCTACGGTAACCACTTACCATCAGATGGGCCGTATGCTTATTTGCCACCTCAGTGGTATAAAAAAAAGGATAAGTGTACTTTTTACCCCGGTCAGTGAACATATCTCAGTCGGGCGGACAAATAGTAAAAGTAAAAATTTGTCATTTTATAATATTTATAGAATAAATCCTAAGTTTCTTTTAATCATAACTATTTAAAACATATCATCAACAGTTGTCAGTAAAAAAATAATTTCTCCATAACAATATAGGAAAGTCATAATACATTGAAAAATCCTTAATTTATATTGAAGACTCAATTTTTATCTCTTTTTTCTAATTCTTTAGGATAATATTTGATTTTCCTGATAGAATACTTCCTTAAACTGATGATTTTGCTTTTAATCTGTATAAAGAATTGTATTTATAATTTCATCCACAAAAAGAAAATTACGTCTAAGCATTATTATGTAAGTAATTATTACGTAATTTTATATAAAAACCAGACCCGACAAATGTAATTTTTTCTTTTTCCTCCGTACTCCCACTTAGTGAATCCATTTTTTCTTATCAATATAAAAAAGTATTCCATCTCTCAAGTTACAATACAAATTTATAAAATTTCATTAAAATTAACGCGACCGATAAATGCACGAAATTTTTATATACATATTAAGATATCGAATATGAAATTACGCCAACAGAACACAATGAAAATGGCCCCGACCGCGGTGCTTCTCGATTTCTCCTGTTCAAACTATAAATCACTTATAAGCCGCAGTACAAATAGCAGGCGCGAATGATATAATTGACCAGCACACTCCGCGCACTACTCACGCGCGGGGTTACCGACTACAAGTAATTACGTGTAATTTGTGTAAGTGAGAACACTTGGGATTTATACGTTTTTTTTTATTTAATCAATTGATTGCTTCAATTTTAAAACGCCATGTTTTAACCACAGTCTAATTTATATATATATATCTTTTAACATAGGAAGTAGTGAGTGAGCAGCTGCGGTACAAAACATGAAACTAAGCAACAAAAATAAATACAAATCATAATAATCATCAGTATGTTCATAACTATACCATAACATCATCTATGTATTTAAGTCTCATTCGGCTCCCCATTATCCCATCGCCCACGTAATCCAAAGCAACGCTAATGCAAGCGCAACCTTTCAATGCGGAAATACTGCATACGTGTAAGATTCCTTATTAATATTCCAAAAACAGGACTCAAAGTACTCGCCAGATAAATGCAGCCACAGTTACTCCTTTTAATTAACAAAAACTGGGAGTCTACCATGAAATTAAATTCCGGATGTTCGTCTTGAATCCTATCATAAAAGTCGAAAAGATATTTGTTATTAAGTATTATGTAATTTTAACACCAAATTTGTATTTCTTTCCTCCCCGAAATTTCGAAAAACATTGCTTGTACCTTTGTACAAATTTGGTCTATTTCTCTAAATAACTCTGAGAAAAATGTGTCTTCATTAATAACATATATTCAACTATGTATTATTTATTATATTACTAGATACCCTCACTTCTTACAAATAAAAAAAAAATCTAATTTCTATAAATTTTTTTTATGCAACTTAGAATGACAAACAAGCTGACGGCCCACCTGATGGAAAGTGGTAACCGTCGCCTATAGACATGAGCAGTACCATGGACATAGCAGACTATACTGTTTCACCCATGATACCCCCCATGCGTTGCCATTCCTGAGGACTCAGGTGTTATTCCTCTGCACCCAGTAAATTCACGCCATATCCCACCCTTCAAACCGAAACACAGTCATGCAAACACAACTGCTTCACGGTTGAAACACGAATGGGACAGAGGTACCCAAGCAATCGACTTTTGTACAAAGTCTCCCTCTGGTAGACTATAAATTAAATATATGAATTATTACTCTTAACAGGTGTGGTTCAAGAACCGAAGAGCGAAATGCAGACAGCAACTCCAACAGCAAACCAACACCCAGATATCAAGCAAGTCCTCCAGTTCCAAAACCTCATCCATATCAGCCAGTTCTAACATAAAAGGCAGCAATAGCTCCAATTCTTCATCAACAAAGATAACTACTTCGAAATCTTTAACTGGCTCCACGAATTCTAGTATAGCTAACACTCAAAATACCTCGAGTATTACCACGTCCTCACCAAATCTTCCCATCACCCCAACCACATCTGTCAGCCCTCCCATAAACGTTATATGTAAAAAAGAGTCGGCTCCCTCTAATTATGACTCTTCACCACTCAATAAGAACAATTTAAGTTCTTTAAGTCACCATTACAACTCAAATGATACGTTAAGAATCAGCGGGAAAGAGTCTTCACCGTCTGATTCTATATCAAACGTCCACGGCTACGGGGTAACACCTAAGCAAGAGTTGTACAATAGTCCAAAAAGGCTGGACTATTCCAGTAAATTGGACTACTCGGAAAAGTCTTTCGGGAGCAGTTTGGTCAAAGACCAATACAGCTCAAGACTTACAGGTAACTTGACGCCGCTAGGGTCAAATTCCTCGATCATGACTACTCCTTCTCCCCCTATAACTCCTCAGAGCTTGAATGGTCCCGGGAATGTGTATCATCCTGACAACTACAATAGCTTCCACTGGCCTGGAAGCTCGGACTACATCAGGAGCTACTCAAGTACCCATCACCATCAAGGATACGGGCAGAGTGCCTACAATTCGCCGTATTATCCGAGTCAGGTATGAGGTTTTTTATTTATATATGCTTTTATCATCATCATCATCATCATCACATCAGCCGTTAACTATCCATTACTGATCATAGGCCTACCTCATAAGTAGGATTCTTCCAATAGTTGTCAAGTTTGGTAGGCAGGTTGGCCACCGCAGTTAGACTTTGGTGATATTTTAAGAGGGACGCTGCTGTCCGCCCCTCGAACATCTAATTCTCTTTGACACCTCTTACGACACACGCCGTTCTATATCGTTATATGCTTATATTATATATTAATAGTAAATATGGCTATGGAAGCCACTTATCTGCTACCAAGACCAGGAAAAAGTTTAAGTGTAATAGAAGGAGATTTTGTACATAAATCATCTGAATTGATACCTTTGTCCCACTCTTCTGTTGCCAGTTAGCTATATTTATATGGCTATGTTTTGGTTTAAAATAAAAGATTTGGCAGTGAAATTACTGAGTACGGAAACTTCAAGAACGGCAACGCATTAGTAGTTACTATGATTGTCACAGTGTAATCTATTGTGTCTGTATTGCTCTTCATATCTATAGACAGTCGTTATCATTTTCCATCAAGTGAACTTAGTTGCCAATCCGAGTAGCATAAAAATACAACAACTAACTTTCTCGTCGCTACTCCGTGCGCTTGGATTTTAGAAATAGGTACACCAATGAAATGGGCCACTTCTAGACGGCGTATGAAAATAAAACATACACCAGTTTAGAAGTTAATCCTGCAGGAACACAATTGTGACAACCGATATGAGAACAGCAAAGACAAGACGCAAAATTTCCAAAAAAAAATATTTCAGGTTCTATCCCTCTTATTAAGACCCCTTATATATAAATAAGACCCTTCAAATATCTTCCATGTACAGACAACGCCTTACAATTTAATTATATTTGTAAGATACTGACAAATACTTTCTTTCAGATGGAATACTTCAATGGATCGTCGGTGAACCAGGCTCATGGTGGCCACCACAGCCACAACTTAACCGCCAACGGCAACCAACTTTACAACCAAGTGTCGTTTGGCAACCCGTCGTCACCGTCCGCGTGGCCATCTCACCACAATATCCTAACCTCTGGCGCCGAATCACCAGAAAACCAATCGCAAAATTCACCTCACCTAAGCATGCTTCAGGCGTCCCAAATAACGAACTTTCCTAATTCAGGTAACAGTTATTTTGCACCTGAAAAATACGGAATCAACATGGTTTAGTGTTTCTAGTCCTCTATTTGTAGATTGTAAATAATTGTACAATTTTAAATCGATATTTGTTCAATGTACAATTTACAAAGATCTCGCGCGTTTCCGAACGGTTTCTTTATATTATCTGTGGCCATCTTTATTTGCACTTCCCATAGTTTTCAGTTCTTAATAATCGTTTTCATTTATTCTATTTAGTTTAATTGTAATTTCATTAAGAAAATAAAAATGATTTTTGATATCTGAAAACATGTGAAAATGCAATATGTGTACATATCACTGAGTAAAATTAATTAATTAATTAATTAATTATTAACTAGTCCTATTTTTTTACGAAACAATCGATTTCTTTGTAAATCGCAGGTAACTGGGCTGTTAGTATTTTTTCAAATACATGTAACTAATTATCCTTAGCAAGACTTGGAGCTAAAACAATACAATATAGTAGTAAACTAATAGTTTTTTTAAGTCAGAAATGAGCATTTTGTTAAAGCTGTATCTTATATTACATCTGGGACTAAATTTTATGTTTTGGAAAAAAGGTAATACTTTCGCGAAAGTCATGTTATTAATATAAAATATCGTCTTGCCACTGGGTAAATCTTTTAAGAACGATTTTGCAATCCGATATGTATGATTCCCCGGACGTGTTTGCCAATCTAGAGATAACGTTATGACAGTGCTATCTGGGGAAGCCGACATGAAATCGTTCAAACATTACTTGATGCTTGACTACTAAATTGTACCTTCTTATAAGTAGCTTAGTATCGTAATTAGTAATTACATTATACCCCCACCTCTTGCTAAGTATTTTTATTTACTGTATACTATAAAATTTTATCAACCTGTTCCAACTTGATGCCAAATGAAGATTGTAAACTCAACGAAATATTGTAAAAAGGCCTAATGCGTGTATCGAGTTAGTGTTGATTGTTTATAAAAAAAAAAAAAGCCCATTTATTTAGGTGTATGTATAGATATTTCTTTTCATATTGCTTCCCAATTCCTATGTATAAATACTTGAGTCATATCACTTATATTAAAAATATATTTTTAGGTTATACTTAGTGATGGAGTTCACTAAAGTAACATTAATATTAAATATAGTTTTCTTGTAAATATATACGTATTTGAGATTTTTATTTAAATAAAACAATGTAAATGTGTGTGTTCCGGATGTATATGTGACTATTAATATGTAGTATAAGATTCAATAAGTATCTGAAATCTGGTATTAAACAGTTTTTACCGGTAACAGAATAAAGCTGTGTGTATACATAGAGGAGCATGCCGTGAACACAGAAGGTGATATCGATAATACAGGTATCGATATCGATGATATCGAAGACGTTAATCTCCTTTCAAAGGGTGTTCAACATGGAAAACTAAATATTTTTCTCAAAAAGAAAAACAATCAATTATTAAAACTAACAGAGCTGTCTAATTAGTAAGAGAGGGGTTGACATTTCTTGTTGTTTTTTTTTACCTTTATGTTTTAAGCGGACATATTCAGTTTTATTAGTAAATTACTCCCTTAAAAGGTTGTCGATATCACCCTGTATACCGTCGGCTTCGTAGTACAAGGACGGAATTGGAAATCAACATTTACAGATTTACAGTTCCATAAAGCCGATAATAGTCTTCACGCTGTTAGCTATTTGCGATATCATATCGCCATTATTGCAATGTCAAAAAATAGATTCCGTTTTTCAGTGACTCTTCCAAACGGAGAAGGTTCTCGATTCGTCTGCATGTTTTTACACGATTACGTCCCAATATCTTTTTTCAAAAGATAGGATTTACCCCCGTCTCGGTCCCATATTAATTTTGTGACGATTGAATACGTATTTTCTCTTCGCTGTGCAAAATTAGACTTATTCCAATATATATATTTGAAGAAATACAATTCCGAATTCTAAATTCAAATAATTGAAGTATTCCTTTGGCATGAGTAATATCGATACCACACCGATATCTATATATTGAGTTTCTCTAGATATTAATATTGGAAATAAGAGTCGTCACTCATATCAATATCAGCCATACCGGTGTGATACCTATATACATTTCGATGTTATATATTGGATAAACAATATTTAATATATCCGCTGCTGAGTCAATATATAGATATTGTATTCCTGTTTTTTACGCAAAATAACATTTATTTGTTATTCATTGAGTGTGAGACTAAAAGTACTATACAATAATTTGCAAAATCGCAATATCTTATCAAATTAATATCTTCTTTTTTATCATTTTATTGTCTTTTACCACTACTTCTTACTCATTTAGTGGTGGCGCCCTCTATGGACAACTAGATTCTAGGCCGCCTTCATTGTACACTATCGCTTACGCGCCCTCCGCAGCACGAAGCCTGTATCAATAATTCTTTTTTTTTTTTTTTTATTTATCTCAAAATCTAGTCAACAGATAATTTCTATATGATTTCTCTGTGATATCTACACAATTTTATATAAATTTTGAAATCGCTTTATTAGCTACCTCACATGCCAACCATCATATTAATACTGTTATTATTTTATTTTTAATATTATCATCGGATCTTAAAATTGAGATAACCAGTGCAAATATTCCTAATAACTTGTTATTCATACATTGATATACAAAAAACCAAGATGCACAATTAGACAAAATTAAAAACCACTGTGAAAATAGAGTGCATTCAAAATATATATAATCATTTTTAAATATTCAGTGACATTTTTAATCAAACATACTGAAATATTCTTCCAAATTTTTTATAATAATATGAAGTCTAGACGCAAAGTTTCATATTTACAGTAAATAAATTAATAATCACTTTCAGTGTCTAGTGAACTGCAAAATAACGAACAATGATAACTGTCCAAGCAGTGGGAGCTAAAATTTTCACGCCCCAACGCTCAAAAAGAACCCAAAAACTGTCTAATCGCACTCTAGATTGCCAATGATGACCTACGAAATCGAAACATGGCTCTACACAGTTGACCAGCAGAAGCTTTAAATTACTCAGCGAGCTATGGAGCGTTTCTTTGCGTGATATGAAATGAGGGTATGCGCAGAAAAACTAAAGTAACCGACATAGCTCGGAGAACAAGCAAGCTGAAGTGGCAATAAGCTTGTAACATGTTTTTGTAAGTGTGAATCTAAGGTTTTTTTTTTATATCTATGTCGGTAATCAACGCATTTTTAACCGCTAACGTGTCTAATTCTATTGACTAGATTTTGTTGTAATGTCTAAAAATACATAATAACTTAAATAAAATGATAATAATGAAAATCTAACGTTACTGTCCTTTAGTATACTCCGATATATCACTGGATATATTTTCATTACGTTATTTAACAATCGTCACTGCCCTTACATTAACGGTACTGGAAAATAAATCTATGTAACCATTTAAAAGCATCAACGTAATAATATATATGATTAATTCATAGTGTTGTACAACTATTTGCAATATACCTCTGTTCAAAATATCGATATCGACAGATATCATAAAAGACTAAGCTGCTGCTGATACATAGATTTCAAACATGTTTTGATGAAGTGTCGCAGATTTATTATATACCTATATTATTAAATACTCTACATACTATTATATATTCTGTGGCCATACGTTTAAAACACCTGTATTAAATAATTGATTTATAACACATCTAGATAGAGCATTTCGCTATTACAAATATGGAATTTCGAACCTTAATTGCAAACAAACGCTTCAATAAAAACACCAGAGGGAAACTTTATACAAAAGTCGATTGCTTGGGTACCTTTGTCCCATTCGTGTTTCAACCGTGAAGCAGTTGTGTTTGCATGTCTGTGTTTCGATTTGAAGGGTGGGATGTGGCGTGAATTTACTTGGTACACAGGAATAACACCTGAGTCCACAGGAATGGCAACGCATGGGCGAAACTGTATACTCTGTTATGTCCATGGTACTGCTCATGTCTATAGGCGACGGTTACCACTTTCCATCAGGTGGGCCGTCAGCTTGTTTGCCATTCTAAGTTGTATAAAAAACAATCCTAATTTAAAAAAGTTACGGTTTACAACAGACCTATCACACGTACTGCCATTTATTTATCAATGCCGTTTTCAGACTGTTGATACATCTTAACAAAAGATTGACCATTTGAACTGAACACTCGGTATTAAAAAACGGAGTCAAAAATCAGCCAATAGTTCACTAACCGTTTCTTGGATGTTTTTTTTTTATAGTCGACGCTCTATCTAGATTCATATACACTCTTATTCATAAAAACTAAAATGTCCAGCAAATCTACTTTAACTATTAAAATGTTTGGATACTTTCTGTCGAGAAAGAAGCATGAAAGAAGATGACAAAACACTTCAATAGCTAAGTTTTTATAAATAAGGGGGTTAGTCTATGACCAGTTATTATTGTCTATGACTTGTTATTAAAATCAAAACATATTTATCCTCACAGCTGTAATTGTCGATATGATTACTATCTCAATTAACAATAGAATATCGATTAAAAAGAGCTGCAACACGAATCTTACTAATTCCGGAATCCTTAAATCTGATATCGACCATGTATAGTAGGCATGGGTAATATCTGTATCACTCCAATATCTATATATTGGATATTACACTGGATATTTACGGCGAAAATTGTCAGCCTTCAATTTTGGCATCGCCCATATCAGTCTGATATCTATGTTTATTTGGACCGGGTGCCTCATTTCGATTTAAATATATAATGGATAATCGCTATTTATTATATCCTTTATTGAGCCAATATATAGATACTGTAACTACAATATATAAATATTGCTGTATATTACCCACCCCTAATCTATAGTACTAATGATAAACAAAGAATTATAAAATTAGTTGTGTACTCTGTGCAAAAAAAATTGTACAATTCCGACCCTAATCCAGTGTTCCTAAGTCGTTATTACAATGTACAATCGTGTTTTTATGATCCAACAATATTGTTTAACGTAATTTCATGATTCTATTTTTAAATTGTCATTTTCAAATGCAATTTATAACTACCGTTTATGATGTGTCACGAGTATGGCTTTACCGGTGTATGATTTAGCCGCCTCTGTTTAATAAAAAAAAAAGATAGAACGAACGATTCAGTCGTGAACATTCCAGACAAATTATCATATTGAAGACTAGGCAGCATGGTCTCCGACCTTAGCCTGTTCCACAACGGAACAAGCGTACTAAAAAAAAAATCAATCGTGAATGAATGATTTCGTTATATAGAAACTTTTTCAATGACATTGTAAATTATCATGGAAGTATTGAAACTTTGAAGAGATTAATAGTTGATTTATATATTTTTATTTCCATATTAGAATTTAAATATAACGAAATCTGTAATTTATAGTAAATTTTAAGCTTGGACATAGCTAAGTTAATTCTAAGTATCTAATTGTACGGCGTTCGATGAAAGTCAGTGTATTTTTTTTTTAAGTTGTATTAATTATTAACTAATAGTTATTGAATTAATGAATCCGAATATATGCATATAAAATACAAAGGTATCGTGTTTTATTTCTATAATACTTGTTTTATTTATTTATTTATAAGAGTACTTCATTCTACACACTGATAATACATAAAAATTTGACAGAGATAAGTAAATGTACGTTATGTTTTAATGTTCGTCAAACACAAGGCATGCCGTGGTCGCCTATCAATGTAAGAACAGTAAGATCTAATCTGCCAGTGTACTGTATTAAAATTTAGCTTTATTGTGGCTGTATCTTATGTTGGTAATCCTATAAATAAATAAATAAATAAATGTACATAATGGGTCAGTTAGACCCCATTACTAACAATCCGTTTCCCCCCTTAACGGGTAGGTTATGTTCTAACTTTAGCACATAGAATAATTTATATATTAATTAACACAGGCAGAGCCGAACGATACAGTTAATAAATAATAATAAAAAAAGAAAGTAACTAGATACTGTCCGTACATTGGAAATACTTAAGAAAAATTTATATGAGTGATTTCAATAAGAGCAGAAAAAGCCAAAACATTATTTTATAGAGATTTTGTCTGTCTTTATGTATGTTTGTTCCAACATCACGCAAAAAGGACTAGGACTAAATTGGATGCGGTTTACATTTATGCTTCTAATAGTGTAACTTAAATTCTGGTGTATGTTTCAACTTGACATGCCATGCGCCATCTAGAATTGGGCTATTTCACTGATTTTCCCACTTGTCAATGCCACGTGCACGATGTAGATAGATAAATAAAAAATGGAAGATTTATTTACATTTTGACATTTGAATATAGTTAATTAATTATTGATATAATATAATATATATAATTATATATAATTAATTAATTATATATATAAAATTTTATATATATATTATATACAAATATGTAAAAAATATAATCTATGTATTATATGTACCTTACATCTACGTGCTATGAATATCAAAAACAACTCCTTTAAAAATTACTTAAAGACAAAAAAATTGTTAGCAAAAACAAATATTTATATCTAAGGCATACACATATCGTATTATAGTTAAAATACAATCAACAATAATCATTAGGAATCATTACTGGAGCGTCATCATCATATTCTGTCCTTAAACGTCCACTGCGGAACATAAGCCTGCCCCTTAGAGGGTTTTGCCAGTAGTTGCCACGCTTGACAGACGGATTGGCAACCGCAGTTAGGCTTTGAAGATATATTTAAAAGGGACGCTGCTGCCCATTCCTCGCCCTCCCTTAGTCGGCTCTAACGACACCCACGGGAAAGGAAGGGGTGGCCTATTCTATGCCGGGACCACAGGGCATTGGAACACAAAACAACAAAATAAAATATATGCCTGCTCGTGTCTCAATGCTGCAAAAAAAAAGTGGGGTTAAAGCTCAGTGCGGAATTTTACTCAGAGAGCAAAATACTAAGTTCGAGCTATGACCACGGGGATGTCCGAAATGAAAACACTAAAAAAAGAGATAGAAGTGAGCAAAAAGCTGGTCTTGTTATGAAAATAGCTAAAACTGTGGGTAAATGGTTACTAGATTGAACAGATCTTCAATCCCTGGTTTTGTGAAACCTACTTGTGTTTTTTTTAATGGGTGATAATGGTATTTTTTGGGGAAAGGGATTGTTAGTAATGAGGTCAAATAGCCCCATTACTAACAATATACCCTATCAGGTCGACCTTCACGCATGGTTCCCCCTGGAAACCATCGTGGCTAATTCTAGTAGAATTCGTCAGGATGGGCTAACTGACCTGCTTTCATCCTCATTAGTCATCTATCACTGGTGCCCCGCCAGTGTATACCGATAGCGCAGACGGGGTTACCGTACCATTATCACCCATTAAAAAAAATGTTTTTTTTTTTAAGGGTGAAAATGGTATGGTATCCTTGCCTGCGCTAACGGGATACGCTGGCGGGGCACCAGTGAAG